AACTCGATTATTAAACGAGAATATAGTCATCCATTCAGTTGGTAGAAGAAAAAAAGGACTTCTCAAAAAAATTTTTTTTTGCTGCGGATTTGCTACCTGAGCAACTTTTCAACAACGCCGAGAAATATTCAGATTATAGAGCATTTTTAGTGCCCCGAAATGCTGAAATGTTGACTTTTCTCAAATCAAATAAAAAGTATTTGATCTAAAATTTCGCTTTATATATGACCAATCCTATAATGAAACCCGATAGAATTTTCTTGCTCTGTTAAACCTTACATTTCGATCTTGGTATTTCTTTATACCCTCAGACTTCGGAATGTTCTAGCACTCTTCCTAACGTGAATATCTGGTCAGTATAAGCACGTCCCGTCTTGAATCTTGCTTGCTTAGGAAGTATCCTGCTGTCTCGTATTGATATGAGTCTATATAGCAGGAAGGTGAAAATTTTTTTGGAAATGTCTTATAGGCTGATTCCTCGATAACTGTCGCAGTACGTCTAGTACATACCTTTCTTAGGAAGCAGTTCCTTTCCTTCAGTCTTGTATTGTTTTCTTTTGTCATATATTTGTTAGCAGAACATATATTTGTTGATGGTAAGTTATGAACAATTATCGACAACATTGAAGTGTTCGGTCCGAAGACCATCTTCTCAGAAAGTTTTATTGGTCTTATGGATTATAAAGATTATTTCCTCTCATGTTAGCAGTTCACAGTTGCAAATGTAAGGTAAGGGCGAATCAGTTATATCCGGGATAACAGATGGCGCATTATGGTTAAGTTTGGCCTCAAAAAGCTCTTTCCATCTTATGAGGTGATCCTTAATAGCCTTAACAGATGTCCCATTAATATTCCATATTACTTCATTGATCCCTTCGCGAGTTATAGTTGCCTTGTGAAAAAGACGAATAGTTTCCTATTATTATTTAACCGCCATCTCCATTCTTAAAGTCGTATTGTTCCAGTAGTGATTTCTGCCCCGTCATGCTGCTATAATTGTAATTCTTCGAAGCACTCGAATCTCCTAACATTCGAGCTTTGGCAACTTTTTCAGATAGTAGTAGGACAATTGCTTCCGACACCCAACTAGCCCATTTCCTGCTAGTATATCCTAGTATGAAAATGGCTGACTTTTGTATGCATGTCTTTAATTGGGACCAGTATTCATTCGCCTTTCCAGAGATTTCATTTACGTTCATTTCACTGAGGTATTCCAATAATACGGTTTGAAATGCGTTTATTGCCGAATCTTTTAATTCGAGATAATTGAAAGATATTTGATACATTGTTTCTTGCAACTTGTCAGTTTTACACGAATCTTGGCTCGAACCATAATATGCTCTATGGCCTTTACCAATTTCAGTGCTCCTGTAAGAACTACTATCAAATACAGAACTCTTCCAATGGATTGGTTGTCCAGAGGATTCCACGTGACTAGATATCCTCTTTTATGTCGAAAACATGTTAGTTACAAAGAGCTCATGCTGTTCGGCAAAATGAAGGTGTTCTTCATTGGCACACTAGACCACGATGCCATATTTGCCAATTAAGCGCGTATTACAATCTGCCCTGAATATGACCATGTCTCATCTCGGTAGAGATTTTTAGTTGAAGCTCCGCATAGAACTTGTCCTTGTCGCGGTTATCTGCGCATAAAGTTGGAGCATATACGCTGATGACCGAAATATTGCAAAATTTTTCTTTGAAATGCACGTAGATCTTACGCTCACTTGCTGGCATCCAGAGTGGATCGAGTCTTTTCAGGCATGACAGTCGCCGAGACGTCATAGTGATATAGCCAATATTTTTGCTCGGAACCAGGTTATCACTTGAGAGCCGACATGAGGAAGACGTACAAAAACCACATCCACGCGGTATTTAAGAAGGATGTGGATCGCTTGGATTGCAACTCCATTAGCGTTCTGACGTTCCGAGCACCTATCGCCGCGCTTTCAGAGTAATAGCTAATAGGTTCTCGCCTCCCTTGACGGGTTTTGAGTAATTATCTCGGCTCCCAAGCAAATTTAAAAAAAAAGAGATAATAAAGAGATTTTAAAAAAAGAGAAACTTAAAGATATTTTTTAAAAAATAAAAAAAAATTAGAGGAAAAGAATGAATTTATATATACATTTGTGAAATTCTTGAACTAATAGTCATAATGGGCAGTGAAATTAAGAAACGTTGGTTATAGGATTGTTTACTTTTTATTTTATTTTATTTCTTTCTGGTCTTTAAATTTTGAGGAAAATAGCTTCTTCCTTTCACAACTATTAATTTACTTTATTTTACTTTTTAGATGCTATTATATATGTCTGTGGCCTTGTATGCTCCATCATTAGCATTATCATCGGTTACAAATATCCCACTGCTTTTGTCGATTTGTTTAACTGCTGGTCTCTCTGGCCTTTATATTTCATTGGTATATATCTTTAGCGTTTATTTATTTCTGCCATTCTGAAACAAAGCAAAACATTCAGTTTCTATTTTAGGGAGGAGCGAAAGCAGGTATACATACATCGTCGTTACAGATGGCGTTAATTTTGTTGAGTATGGCTATAATACTTATTTGTAGTTTAACCAAAGTTAAAATATCAGAAATTATTCCCAGAGCGTATAATGGAGGGCGACTGCAACTGCTCGAGTATGGTTATGTAAATATTGTGAAAGTTCGAAAAATATATATTTTCTTATGTTTTTGTACCTATAAATTGATCGGTTACATATATTCTTGTGTTGTCTTGTTTCCTGTCTGTTATTTGTGTTTTTTTTTACTTTTCCAGATTCTAAAATACTTTTTTAAATTGTTTGGTTTAAAAGATAAAAATTTTTTCTATTAGAGAGATCTGTTTTTAAAAAAACTGATTTATTTAAGTTTTCGATTAGATCCAAGAATTCGACATTCAGTATGGCCATTACTGATAGGAGGGACTGGTAATATTCTGTGTTTGTTTGCTGCAAACCAACTGACAGTGCAACGTTACTTGGCAATGCCATCTCTGCGTCATGCGCAATGGCATGATTTTAGATTTTATATTTTTTCTTCAAATTTTTTCTTTTGACTGAGCATGAGAACAGTAATTATTTAGAAATATTTTAAGGGTTGTTCTACTTAATATTCCATTCAATTTTCTAATTTTAACATTATATGTCGGTGTTGGCTTAATATTATATTATTTTTATTATAATTGTGATCCAGCATTGAAATCAAAAGACCAGGTTGGATGAATTATGCCACTTCTTAATCATTTTTATTTTTTGGAGTTGCTGAATTTTTTTCTCATATTTTTAAATTACTTTTGGGATGAAAGAAATAAATTTTTTTTACAGCTTCTTCCTTATTTTGTTCTGGAAAAAATCTCCTCGATTCCAGGAATCACAGGGTTGTTCATTGCGTCAGTATATAGCGCTGGTACAAGGTTATTTTTCATTTGTTTTTATTTTTTAACAATATTTTCTGTTCGTAACTCCATTTTGATTCCATTTATTTTCAGCACATTATCAGCATCATATAGTGCTCTTTCTGCTGTAGTTATTGAAGATGTTATAAAACAATATCTTTTAAAACTTAGGAATGGAAAACAGTTGGATATAAAAGTGGCTATCAGATTAACCAAAGTTTTACGTTGGTTCTTTTTTTTTCTACTTGTTCACCTAATTTTAAATAATTTTATTCAATAATATTTTTTAAAATTTAGGTTCGCAATGACAGAAAGTAAGATAATAATAATGATGACAATAATAAAAAAATCTATATTAATCTTTTCCTATACCAATCAACCGATGAGTTATTTGATAAAAATTGATATGGCACTTGTCATTAATGCAAATATATAAAAATTTATGAATTTGCTGATTCACAGCATCACATGTGTTTAAAATGGTTCATTGAATAATAATATTCTTATGAAGTTTTTTAGCACTAGTGTTTTGTGTTTTAACCATAGTACTGGCATATCTCTGCAGTTTATTAAAGACAATGGTGCTTCAGGTGATTTCCATTTCTTATTTCGTTTCTTAATTTTTATAAAATAAATAGCATAATTTTTAAAAAACTGCAAAATTTTTCAAACTTGTACCCATTTAAAATATAAGTAATAAAATTTTTTTATTTATGAATGCAAAAAAATATGCTTCATTCATTTGCATTATTTTAAAAATTTTTTCTGAAAAGAAAGAAAAGAAATTTACCAAAAAATTCAGGAAGAAATTTAAATAATAACAATTAGAGATTTCAGATATCACTATCTATTTTCGGTTTAGCTGGTGGACCTGTACTTGCTGTTTTTTGCATGGGATTTTTTTTCCCTTTTATAAAAAAAACAGCTGCTTTTCTTGGTTAGTATAGGTGGATGGGATTTTTTAATCATCTTTTTAAATCGTTTTCATTTTATTTCATTTGTTACTGTTTACTGTTGTGTCAATTTTTTATTATACCACATTTATATATTTTACATGCATTCTAAATTTCGCCATTTTTTCTATCTTTAGGTCAACTTTTTGCGACAATTTTTTGTATCTTTCTTGCTGCCGGATCCATAATGGAAAGAATAAGGCCCGTTGCATTGCCACTGGATCGCAACTGTGGTTTATCTAACACTTCTGTCATTTTCAATTATACTGATCCCTATTACGGAATGGTCGAACCATTGTCGAGGTTATTCTAATTTTCCATCATCTTTTTTAGTAAGAAATCGTAGGAATCATGTTCTAGTAAGCATTAGTATTGAGTTTATTTGTGCTTGTCAAGAGAATTGGATTCGGTTCTGTTCTTTTTCATTTTAATAATTCATATTTGTTGAATATTTGAATAAGCGAATTTTAAAATAGATATTTACATTAGATATTTATAAAAATTTTTACAGTACTTCATTACTTGTGCAACTTTATCGCGTTTCCTATCAGTATTATAGTACTATTGCTGTTTTATTCGCATTTACTGTTTCTTTTATTGTTCAACTTTTGATTTACCTGTTTAAAGGCAAGCACTTTAGTTAATCAACAAAAATTCAAATGAATATATTTCGTATATTTTTTTAAATCGATGACTTCAAATTCATCGTAAATATTCTATAATTTAATGATTTCCAGTGGGTAAGTATTCATTTCAGGACAGAAAGGGAAGGATAAAATTGATCCCAAATTATTATCACCGCTGTTGGTGAAAATTATGATAAAGGTAAGATTAAATCTTAAATGGTTAAATATGTACCGATTATTTTTAAATCATTTTAGCTCTCTGATTGAATTTTTTTTTTTTTAAACAGTCCTCACCATTACTGGTTAAACTCGCTCCACTGGCTTATCGCACTGGACAAATATGCCAGGCATTAATTAGTATTGAGTTTATTTGTGCTTGTCAAGAGAATTGGATTCGGTTCTGTTCTTTTTCATTTTAATATCCCTTGGCGATAGAAGTATATGTTCTGTTCTTTTTCATTTTAATGTCCCTTGGCGATAGAAGTATATGTTAGTCGCCAGCATCACCCATCCTGGAATCGAACCTGAATATCGGCGCCCCTAATTGAGCAATCCACTGAGCCATTCTATCCCCCCATCTGACTGAAATTATTAACTACTTACTAAATTTTTCAAATTTGCAGCGGAAGATGATTGGCTGAATTTAACAATGGTTTCTTCTATTTTTTTATGAAAATATGCTGACTTTTTGTCATTCATTTTATTTTTAGAACTTCAGGATGTAGTAGGATCCTTCAATAGACAAATCGAAAGAATTGATTGACCTTATGATGTTTATTGTTGCTTCTCAGATTCGAGTCGCACCGATTTATTTTTGTTTTTCAGGACGATTTGTCGAGCACTGAATATCGCACAAATAAAGTCGAAGAGTCTAATATGTAAAAATTTGAAAATAGAAGAAAGCTTTTCCTTTCCTAGAATTGTTGCTAGAATTGTTGAAATTTCATCTATTTATTTTGATAAGTCCGTATTAACATAAAAATTTTTCCTTCCATTGTTTTTCGGAAAATGTCAAAATGTTTATATTTTTCTGTTAGGAAAATATTCAAATTACAAAAAATAAAACTTTGCTTCTTGAAAAATTTAAAAAATTGATTCACAGACGAACATAATATAGGAAATATAACAATATTAATGCCAAAAAAAACTATCTGCCTTTTTCGTTTACTGTTTCTGAATATTTTTTTTTCAAACATTTAATGGGCTTTTTTTTGAACAGGAATCAATTTTTAAAATTGATATAAAACGGACATTTCATTCGAAAAATCGTTACTTCACAAATTTTCGTAAACTTTTTGCTCAATAACAGTCGAATGGAGTTTTTTTCAACCAAGGCCCAATAAAGGGTTTTATTTTCTAATTTTTAGAATATCGAATAAAATACCACCACACATCACACTCATTTAAAAATAATCCATTGTGGTCGGAAGGTAGTAAAAATAAAACTTTAATTTTTCTCATTTCAAACTTTCATAATATCATACATGTATACTAAATGAAAGAATTAATAAGAAACATTCCTTTCCAAACAAAAAAATGCATCGACGAAATCATCAAAAACTATAATCCATTGAAAACTTTCAGAAGTTTCTTGCAAACAACTGTATAAAGCTTTATGAAATTTTTCTCAAAAAAGTAGTCTTGGAGTGCAATAAAAGCATAACTTTGACCTATTAAAATCTCATTAAATCCTTACTATAACGAAATTTACGACGTGGTGTGCAATATATTTTCTTAAGTAACCAAAATACAGCATCTTTAACAAGATTACACCCTTTTCTCTTTTTTCCTTTTATTTTAAATTAGCAATGAGTTGGCCGATCAGCGTTAATTTTTTCCAGCTTTATTAGGTATTTATTCTTTGTTTGAAACGACTGTAAGCGGTGTGAGCAAGTAATTGGCAAGCGCGTTTAATTTTGCTTTTAATAAACCAAGTGGAACATTTTTCGATCCTTTCAGTGCAAGCAACATTCTGGCCACTTGCGTAACGATGATAACACCATCTTCACATTCCAGTAACATTTCTCGAAGGTGTTCGCGAGTACCTAAATCAAAAAACATGAACCAATAATTAAAGAATAATTAAAGAAGATGACAAAATAACCTACAAAAAACGATGAGAAATAATATAGTTTGATTCATGAATTAAAAATATGCCTTGACGCTCAAAAGTTTCCCATATATTTGATAAAAGTGCAGCCGATATCGTCGCATTTGTACTATTAAGAGATTTCCCATCAATTCTGTCGTACCCGCTATATGCCAGCAGTAGTCCTAAAAAATTTATTTCACCATTCAAAAGCAAATGAAAATAGTCAAAAAAAAGACGACCAATATTCATTAGAAAAGAATAAAGGAATGCGTGTTGGCAGCTTAGTGGCAAAATAAATATGCTACACTTCGTCTGGTCGAAAAAGGAATTAGAATAGCTCAATGAGTTGCTTAATTTGGAGTGCCAATGCCATTCTATGTCCAGCAAGAGTAAACATATACTTCATGAATCAGGATGATGACGATTCATCTGTATTTCTATTGCCTAAGAATCAGGATGACGGTAACGATTCATCTGTATTTCTACTGCTTTAGCAAAACTTGGTTGAGCGAATCTTACCAATAATTGTGAGCGTTCTTTAAAAAAAAAATGAACCAAAAATCTATTATGAATGGCGAATATATGACGATTTAAAAGGAATGTTTAAATAATCTTCAAAAATTAAAACGTTTCGAGAGTTAAAACTTATTTCGTATAGAATTATTTCCAAGAAAATAGAAGAAAAAATTTCGACGAGGTTAATCTTGAATTTACAAACTATTAAAAAGTTTGGTTTATTTTTACAGTAAAATAACGAAAAGTAACAAAGATTTTCACTATTTCAGCATTTCAAGCACTCACCTTCATGATTGAATAACAGCGCACCTTTCGTTTCACCGCTATTGACTTGACCCAAAACTTGGGTTAAAGCTTTCGGCTTTAACATTTCGAAAAATTAAGTATAAATTACGAAAAAAGAGGATATTTCTTTACGACTATCTGAAATTTTGAATTTCTCAATACGAAAAATATTCTAAAAATTATTTTTCGAATATTCTTTCGATACTCTTATATTTCTCTTTTAATATATGCTTTTCACTTTTTTAAACTATTCAGTTTATCTAAACTATTCAGTTTATCTAAATTGGTTCTTGCATATATAAAAATGTTTTCTGCTAAAAAGCGAAGAATATAAGTTTTAACATTCGAGGCAACCATATTCTATTTCATTTCACAAAATAAAATTACAAATTTTTATTGCCTTCATTTTTAAAATGCAAAAAATTACAAAAATGAGCTAATAAACAGATTGCAATTGATAGCATACACAGATAGGCTCAAGTATCACTCAGGTCACCCTTGCTGATATAATTCCACCAAAAGGGACAAGGGAAACCCATTTTTGCAAACTCATTCTTCAGCAAAAGCTTATGACAATCAAAATAATTCGAATATCTGTCTTTTCAACATTCAGAATTTTATGTCAGCCAAACCTATGAATTCTATATATTTTAATATATTCATAAGAATCTATTCATTCAGTTGAAATATATCGTTAAATCATAATAAAAGAAACAATAATTCAATAATTCACAAGAAATAAGATTTCCCATATTCACATAAAAAATAAATAAATAAATAAATATAAATATATATATATATATATATAGCACAGCAGCTTTCACGGACGATTAGTGCATCTTACAAGAATGCAAGAACCCCAATTTTTCCCACATCTCTATAATATTCTTTTTTTCACGAAAAGAAATACATAGCGCATTTGAAAAGCAACGATTTGTTAATCTGTCCATCTGTGATAGCATCCGACAGTTGTACAGACATAATATAATCGCATCTCTTCCTGCAATAAGCTTTTTTTCTGGAAAATATAATTTGTTAAGTATAAATAATAGTGGCAATGTTGATAATGCCAAATGCCTGAAGATAATACCTGAAGAAACTCACTGCTGTTTATCAAAATCTTAAAGAAATTTTGAATTTGCAATGTTTATTATACAATGGAATGATAATTGAAAAGGAAATCGTTTTCTGGTAATGGTTTCTGTTGAGAGGAGAATTCGATTTTAACCTTTAATTCAAAAAAATTCTTCTCTTATTAAAAAATTCTTAGTGGTGCTGGCGACTTATCTCAATTTCTCAATTAACTGACAAAGTTTCTAATTACCAATGCAGCGTGTATAACCAGGAAAGGATGGATAGTGTGAGATGATCGTGGTGCGCCGAAAAGACATCGTTATCCTCCTGCCTCCTACTAACCACAATTAATAAAACAAACTTCTGCCCTTCTTGACTGTGCTTGGAAAAATACCGCAAAGCGTCCTTTACAAACTGGACAAGGATGATCTTCTGTCTTCGGCAAAGTTGGATCGTGCACAACATCAGAAACGATTTGAGTTAATTCACTAAAACTCGAGAAAAAATGTTCTAATGCTGTAGCTACGAAATAAGGCGTAAAGATTTTTTGCATTTTTCATTTATTTTATTTTTTACTTCTTTATTCTGAAAAACTTAACTAAATTTTTAGGGAAAAACTCACTCGACTTCATGCATAAGTTTGTTAACATAAATGCACGGATTTTCGGATAACTGTTTGTGGTCGCAGTTCCTGCACGCATAAAGCAATAACCTATTTTCTTTATCTTCCGCTGGATATAACATGTTGTTACTGAAAATCACCTTCGCACAAAACTACAAATGGGGGAATTCATTTTTAAAAAAGTAGGTGAAGGGAACGAAAAATAATGTTCCCCGAAATAAAAAAATAAGGGCAGCGAGAAAAATTGTAAATGCGATTCTAATATTATAAATAATAATAATAATATTGTTTGAAATGAACAGTTAGAGAAGTTGCGGCAAAAAATATTTACAAAAGTATTATTTCAAAACTTTTGTTCACTTGCAATAATTTATAAAGCTAAATTATTTAAACAATTAAATAAACCAACAAATTATTTTCTTAATTTTGCCAAATAATTTAATAAATCCGAATTAAAATGAAAAAGCTGAAGAACAACGTAAAAGAATTTAGAACTGAGACATTTTGAAATTTAAGCAAAAAAAGCTAAGCACAAACCATTCGGGGCAAAATTTAATACCGACAAAACCTGGACCACTCATCGCAACACCACGGAAATAAAATAATCCGCTATGGCACACAGCCAACTAACATCTTCGTGTTAAGACCAAAGTTCAGTAGTGACTTCTATATATCGCGGTGAATTGATGTATAATAGCCTCTGGGACACAAATGGTGATAACTGCGGTCTAGGGGGAAGTTGTCCAAACAGGCTTCATCTGGCGTTTTCGTTCATTGGTACCGCATTGCGGTATTCTTACATGCATTCCTAATACTACGATTCAGCCATTTGGCCGGTATAGCACTTTGTTTTTATTTCTTTTTTGCTTTTCTAAGAGTCTATTCCTGTGTCGAATTTGCGTGCTGTAAGGGTTTTTCGCTCTTCTTACCATTAACGAATATTTTAGGAACATTGTCGGTGTTTCCGTTAAAATGATGGTCTCCATTTAATAAATTATGCAAACCTTGTAAGTTTTCACTTGCACTGACTTTCTTTTTTGTAATCATTTGATCGATAAATAAATATTTATACAAAATATATTTCAAATATTTCAAGCCAAGCAATAAATGATTATAATCAAATAATGGAAAAATTTCGGTCGCATTAAATATTTTTAGAAATTCGCAAATTAAATTCGAATAGATCGATTTAATTTTTTAGATGAACAAAAAAAAATTTTATGAGAAAAAATGAACGAAATAAGTATACAAAATTATTTGATTTTTAATAATTTGTTGCGAATAAATTTTCCATTAATTCGTTGAATTTGGCGAATTTCTTAAATTTTAAAGACTTTATTTTCATGAATAATCGGAGAAGTTTTTTTCTCAGCCTTAATTTTAAATTTTGAAAATGCAATTTTATTTTATAGAATAATAAACCTTTTCAGCGAATTTCACATAATTGCAGTGCTTCTTTCTTAATGTCAGAAATTTTGATTTGCGCGAAAATAAAATATTCTGCAAAATTTAGCATCGTTAACGATCTCAAAAGACGTATAAACGTATATAAAACTTAAAGAAAAATTTATGCCAAAGCACGCAAATTTGTATTAATATAAATAATAATAAATAAATAAATAATAAAAAACCAAATGTTCATAATGTTTTGAAAAGTTTAAAATAATTTTCTAAAATAAAGTGTTTCGTAATGTTTTGTAAGAATAAGTAATTTTTAGTCATTGAAATAAGTTTTAGTGATTTAGTTCAAAAGAAAAATATGCCCAGTTGCAGTTGCCCAATATAAGTAAATTATATGGAACAGAATGGCCGACTGTTAAATTATTTAGATTTAGCGGATTTAATTACGGCTATAGTGCAAGAACTTACACCGAAATAAGAACTTCGAAATGAGCATTCCGTGACAATATTTTCATAGATGCAGTTAAAGAAGCAAACCGTTGCTCTACAACGATATGTTTAATTTAATAAGTTTGGTATAAAAATAAGGAAAACTTTATGAAAGCCAAAAAAAGACGATTTTTCAACCAGTTTCTTTGAAAATGCGCATAAATTGCACCTGCAAGGTCCAAATAAATCGGGGATTGTGATTATTTTTGTACCATTACCATAAATTATATGCAATCCGTCAAAATCAAAGTACTTTGAACAAAGAGTTTTCTTGGTTTTCTCGAATTCATATGAAAGAACACATTTATTTTCACATCTCTTTTTGCCAACAGAAAATTGCTTATTTATACAAGAAAGTGTTGATTTAATTCCTGAAAATTTATTATTTCATTTGCTTGTTTCATTTACTCATCATTTTCCATATAATTATTAGTTAATGTTAATATCTTTTTATCAGTATTATTGTTGTCAATACTTTTATTACTGTTATTACTGTTATAAATAAAGGTAATAAATAAAAATTGCAATAATAGCAATAACAAGTGTTGAATAGCGGAATGACTAAGGCAGGTCAGCAATATGGTACATGACAAATTCGAATCGATGCTAGTCCTATCTGTATTTCCAGAGAGTGAGACCATCTGAAAGCTTGTCTGCCTTACTTCGATCTCCCAGCCCTCTGGTAGAGAATCTGAGGTTGAGGATTACCCACACCGTCTATAAGGAATGAGAGTGGGATTTTTTTATATTATATATTATATTACACTATGTTTTTTTATATTTTTTTATTTTTTTATATGTATACTATTGTCGTTTAAATTATTACCGTTATTAAATGTCAACTATTAAATGTCAATAGAGATTCTTTCTGGACCTATATCAAAAGAAAATCCACGTAAAGAATTCTGCAATAATAATGTGATGATATTGATGATATTGATATTGAAAGCGTATTTAATCAATATTTTTCTAGTGTATTTGTTGAGAATAATACTCATACTTCTTGTTTTAACGTAAATCGAATTTATTGCACTTTTCTTGGTGAGTTGAAAAAACGTTACTGGATGTTTATGATGCCTTAAATAGACTTAAGGCGTCCATTTCAGCTGGCCTGGATATTATTCCACAAATAATTTATAAAATATGCAATCTCTTTGAGTCTTCCCCTATTTCTATTTATAAGGATATTATGACTGTCCTTAATCCCAAAATTTGGAAGTCGTCTCATATAATTTCCATTGACCCTTCTATGACCCTTCCTATGACCCTTCTAATTACAGGCCTATTAGCCTAACATGCGTTGGTAGTAAGGTACTCCAAAGGTTAATTTGCAACAAATTGCTTACTTATCTTGATGCCAATAATTTTATATCTCCTTATCAGGGGGGAGGAGAGACCATGGTTTTTGTATAAAAAAATCTACTTCACAAATATTGCAAATCGTTCCGATTGGTCAGCATCAATTGTCAGCAACAATGGAAAAACATTATTAGTTGTGTACCTAGATTTTGCTAAAGCTTTTGATACTGTTTCCCATAGCAAATTACTGATCATTCTTAATAGTTACGGCATTACAGCGGTCCTCTATAACTGGTGTTAGATTATATAAATAATCGTCACCAAGCCGTACGCGTCAATAACATTCTTTCTGACACAACACCTGTTAAATATGATATTGCCCAAGGTAGTTGTATTGCGCCCTTTTTCTTATATGTAAATGTTGTCTCCAATGTGGTACTAAATTCTACTATTTATCTTTATGCTGATGATTATAAAATTTATTATTTATAAAATTATTCTCATAGTAGAACAGATAGCCTATCTCCACTGCAAGAGGACTTCAACAAAATAGCCAGCTAGCTGTATGACAGGCAAACCCTTTCCTTTAAAAAATGTAGCGTTCTTCATATCAATTCTAAGGGTTTCGATTTTCCTAATTATTATTAATGGCAATAATGGTAGTCAGTAGAGTCTCACACATTTCCGATCTTGGAATAATCATGGATGAAAATCTCGATTTCGACCTTCACTGCAGAACCATGGTAAAGAAATCCTCAAAGAAACTAAAGTTTATTTTTCGTTCGTTCAAGAACAAAACTGAAGATTCTTATCAAAATGCGTTCGTTCGGCCAATTCTTGACTACGATGCTACATGAGATCTCGTAAATCAAGTAAAATAATTGAAAGACTCCAAGAATATTTTATATGGCGCCTCTCTTCTAATTGTAATTTTAATTATAAAAGAAAACTTCTATAATATAACCTGGATTTTCGAAAAGGCTGCCAGCACGGATATCAGAAGATCCTGACCACAGAATGCTTTGAAGGCATGTAGCAGCTCAGCGGTACAAAAGTCACTATCGGAATGCTATGATCTAGAATATATAAGCTGGTTGAGTAGGAATAGGAAACTTTCTGCCTTTGCCTTTCTCATAAAGAATCAAAGCAATCTGGAAAGGGGATTAACGAGATAATCCAAGGTAATATGATATGTCTGTTAAGGCTATTAAAGATGCCTTGCACGGTGAAGGGAATTCTTCAAAGCCAAAAGCAAAGCAAATTTAACTGCGATAAATTATCTACCATCATTGACATAATTGAAAGTGAGCCATAATTGCAATGTCAGATCATTCAGAACCTTAGCTCTAATAATGCTGCTGGAGGCTAAATTCTTCAATATTATCTACCGTCCTTCATAACTTCAACAGATTTACTCTCCGATATAGAAGAAAGAACTAATACCAGACAAAATATGGTTGGAGCAAAGCAATTCCGCTTCAAAGTGATAGGATATACTATAATAACTATCGAGCAATTAGCCAGTTTTATTACCCTTCCAGTAAATAGATTTATGGCAATAGGAGACATCGCCCTAATGAAGCTGGATTTCGTTGTCAAGATTGACCACAAATTCATGTTAAGGAGGGTGTTGCAGTATTGCTCTGAATATTGGCAGCTTGTTTCATCGATTTTGCAAATGCTTTTGATAGAACTGATAGAGTAGCGCTCTAGAGATGAAGCGCAACGGTCAGCGATCATTCGACTCATAAAAGTATTTTACCAGCCTACATCAGCATATGTCTATATATATGGGGAATTGACAGAGTTTTTCGAAATAAAAACTTGATCAGGGGACCTTTTTTCCCATGCTTCAAGAGGTATCGGGTCATAAATACATCAAAAGTCAATATAAATAAGACTTAAGATAAATAAAAATAGATAAAGCATAAGA